ACTCAAAAATTTTAGAAGCTTCCTGGATTTTGAAAAAAAATGTTCTGCACCTGGGCCCCAATTCTGACCTACTGGGACAGTGAGTTTAGCATTGACTTCCTGAGAGCGGGATTCGTCCATGTACTGGAATGAACCCAAAATGGCACGGGACCTGCCATTACCCATCAGCAGTAAGACTCTTTCTTCTTTCCTTTAAAAACTGAATGTCTGTGAAGAAAGCAAGGTGATTTAAAGCCTGTTCTAACATTCAACAATGAAATGTCCCTAAAAAGATAGACATTGCTGTTAGCATTCGCATCAGCGGAAAGACCATCATGTTCTCGCAATCGTTTCCAAAGATTAATTTTTAAAGAGAAAGAACTCTCATATTGATGACTGGAAGATGAAGAAATAGAAGAATAAGACAAGTGATCCTTTCACATATAGGCACATTTTAATGGAATAATTATTAATTACAGCATACTTAAACACACATTCATTCATTTTCTGATGGAGTATATTGAAGATCAAGTTGATATACAAAGCACTTTTCCAGAAGGATCTTATTTCTTCCCCACAATAATGCTTTTAGATCATTCTACCCTCAATTTATATTTGAGGAAAGTAGACCCTTATCCCAGTGACCTAGCTACTAGACAACCTATTAAGACAAAATAGACAGCAATCCAGGGTACGGGGTCCAAAACAACACAGAAAAGATTCAAAACATAACCCTTAAATTTGCGTATTTTACGACTTAGACAATCTAGTAGGTGAAATCTGGACTCAAATACAGGTTTTTCAACTCAACAGTCTATGACACAGGATCAAAAGTTATAAAAGGGATAGGAAAAGTGAGAGGTAGAAATGTATGCTTTTCTTTGCCAAATGAGTCATTCCACTCCTATGGGTAAATCTCTATGTGATTAGAAGGAAGTAAAGACTCACTCAACAAACCCTTAATATCTTAGTGGTGATGATGCCATACTTGGTTATATGTCTATACACATACTGCCTTCTTGATAAAGCAGTACGAGCAGTTCACAGTTACAATCACTGCTGTGGGCTAAGAACAGAATAGGCTGAGCACTGGTGGCCTAGTGGCAAGAAGCTGTGCTACACATGGTTAGAATCCACCAGCAAGTCCACAGGAGAAGGATGGGCAATCTCCTCCCATGTGATCAACTGCCTCTAAAAACTCACTGGAGGGTCAGCTATTGGTCAGTTCCGACTTGATAGTATACAACAACAGCAACACCAGTTAATGGACCAGTTTTGGCCAGACAGGCCCAGACAGAGGTGGGATAATCACTGGGCAGAGGGCTCCAGGCTTGTACTCTGACTTCAGCCCAGAAGGCAGAACCACTTAATATTAGCTTTCTAAGGAGAAAAAGCCCGACAAGCCAGCAGCAGTGGAAAATCTGTCATCATAGTTGACTTTGGGAGTTGTTGCTAGTCCCAAGAAGGCAATTATATCAATTAACTACTGCCACAATAATGTGGTTATAAGAAACATCAAAAACACAGTAAAATCCAGAAAATTTAAGCAATAAATTGCATTCTTGAGATCAGCTGGAAAAGGCCTGCTTCATTCTGCAGGTCTGTGTGTCTGAGTCTTTCCCTGTGGCTGCCTCCCTTTTCTGAACCAGGGGGTTTGCTGTGGCATGTTCTTCTCAGGCTGATGGCAGTACAGGAGGAAAAGCGGACACATGCAAAGTCCCTTAATATCTCATCCCCTCCCACTGATTAAAGTTACATCCATGGTCAAGTTCAAAGTAGGAAGCTCTATTCCTGATCAGGCCATGACTAGGATGCAATATAGAAAATAACACAAAGAATTTGGACCATAATTCCGTCAATATTCATCAATCCCACTGACAGTATTATTCACATCCCTCCAACATTAAAAGCATGTCCATGCCCATGCCTGTCTAAGGACACACAAAAGTCTTTCTAATGGTACAGTCGGTAGGGAGTTGCTCGGTTAACCCAAAGTCAGGCACCACTCAGATTGCTTGAATCCTCCAGAGGCTCTGTGGGAGAAAGATGGCCGTCTCCTCCAGTGAGAGTTACAGCCTTGGAAACCCAATGCTGAGTCAGATCCATTACCAGTTAGTGAGTGAGTGAAAATGTACCCCAAATCTTGAGGTGGCTCCTTCTTATCTAGAAACCAACAAACTAAAATTACAAATTATCGGCCAACTTCCACATACTCTTACACAATATAGCATAGTACAGCAGGGGCAGAGAATCACAACAGAGAGAGAAACCTTGATCCTTCTTGTTCTGTGCCGTTGAATCGCCTGAGACTCATAGCGACCCTATGAACAGCAGCTCTGTCCTGAGCCAGTCTGATTCTGACACACCTACTCCCATTGACCAGTTATTGTATCCATCCATCACACCTGAGGCCTTCCTCTCCTGTGCTGTCCGTCCACCCTTCTGAGCATGATGGCCCTCTCCAAGGACTGGTTCCTCCTGGCCACATGCCCAAAATATGTGAGACAGAGCTTCAAAATCCTCTAGTCTTGCTTTGACTTTGAATCTGGTTTTGATGAGCGCTGGTTGTTCCTCCAAGAAGAAGTATTTCAAATGGTCTGATTTACTAAATTGGGCAGCAAGAGACATGATGAATTGTACATAAAGTTATAGCCATTTTTTATAATTGATTCTAAGAAGTAACAAGAAATGATAAGTTACTTCCTGAGACATTCTGTGAATATAAAATAATACTAGAAAAAGGGAAGGGCATGGTGGTCTGAAAAGCTCTACTCAAGGCCATACATCCAGTCAGGAAAAGAAGGCACTAAGTCAAGTCAGCTTCCAGAAAAAGAGGAAGCATCACCTTCAATGCCTTCTACACCACTTGGGGTTTAAATATGATGTGCTGAGACGTCTAGTCACTCGGGTTCTCAAGTCAGCCTTTTGCAAAGCATGAACAGCTTAGCTGATGAGCTGAATTTGTTTGATCTAAGTTTGCTTTTTGCCTAAAGCTTCTAATCTTCCTTTACTCCTACCTCAGTGACAAGCATATGAACACAGAGACTTGACACTGACCCTATTGTCCTTTCCTCTCTTCTACAACCCGTTGTTGTTAGTATGGACTCTTTCTGCTTCTTCTTACCACACCACCGTCATATTTTAGACTCTCTCCTCTGACCTCCTGAAGCAGTCTCTGCTTCTACCGCTACTTCCTCTCCCTCCTCTGTCCATACTGCTGCTGCCATAATCTCTCTGAAATGTAGAAAATATTCCACTGCTGAACTCTTACTCATCCTCTAAAGCTTCCAGGGTGTATCATAAACTCCTTAGGGCGTGCCATGGCCCTCCCGCTCTGCTGTGGTGTGCATTCTTACTACTTCTCATCATTCTAAATAATTCACCCAACAGCAGATCCTCAATTCTTTCCTGATTGGTTCATTTTCACACTTTTGTTTGTGTCTTTTTGCATTCAATGCATTTTACGTGCTCCCACGAAGCCAGGGTGAGCAGAGGGCGCAAGGTGGGGAAGCAGAGTAGAGAGGGACAGGGAGGAAGGCGGGTGCACAGGAAAATCCAGAGCTGGAACTAGAGATGGAGGTGGGGCATGCACACACATTTGCTGGTGTGAATCAAACAGGAGCTGAATGAGAGTCTACAAAAACTGTTCATTGTAGCCCTGCCTGAAAGAATGGGGACCCAATGGGGAGGTTAAAGGAGTGATATTCCAAGACATGCTTTTTACCTTACTGTCTTGGAAAGATTTTTTTAAAGTAATAAGCATACCTCTCTGTATATTTTTAAATTACCTTTTCCTATTTTTTCAAGTCTTTCAGATATGAATTATCTCTAAGAATTATAATCACAGTGGCAGGTATTTAACAGTTAGCAATATTAGAATAAAATTTAAGAAAAAAATGGCTAAAAGTCTATGTAACAGAAGAATAGGAATCCCAGAACACTTGATTGTGCTTATGCAAAACCTATACTTGGATCAAGAGGCAGTTATCAGAACAGAGCAAGGAGACACTGCATGGTTCAAAATTGGGAAGGGTATGTGCCAAGGATGTGTCCTAAGTCCATACCTTTTCAATCTACATGTGGAACAGATTATAAAGGAAGCTGGCCTCTATGAGGAGGAACATAGCATTAGGATTGAAGGTAGACTCATCAACAACCTGCATTATGCAGATGACACTACCCTGTTTGCTGAAACTGAGGAGGACCTGACGTGCTTGTTCTACAGAAGGTCAAGGACTGCAGCCTTCAATATGGATAGACACTCAACGTCTCTGCTGGCTCAAATTCACGAGCAGTGTTCAAGTTCACGATGGGAGAAAGGTGGGCTGTGCCCTCCTGTGTGATTCACAGCCCCAGAAGCCTGCTGGAGGGCCAGCTGTCAGTCAGTCCAGACCCCACGGCTCGAGCCTGAGTTGCTAAGTTTCATCATCCTCATCAATTCTGATCCACTGGGGAAAGGCCCCGGATTCTGCTCATCCGAAGTTTCCCCCAGACACCGAGAATCAGTTAGCCAGAGGATCGAAAACATGGTTTTGATGGAGTGAGATCATTTACCTGGTGGCTTTATTCCAAGAAAAAGTGTGACTCTACCCTAGAGCCATGTTTCTATTATTTCCTTTTATTTTTAGTAGTTAAGTTCCACTTGTCTTTCAGATTTTATTATCCCTTAGAATTATAATCACTTTGACAGCCATTTAACAGTAATATTAGAACAAGAGCCCTAAGTAATCATCAAGAAGCACGTGCTTGTACAGTTTCAGACACATATTAAAATTAAGGCAAATGAAAACCAAAATCTAGAAATACAAATATAAAAGTTTTCCAATTCTAAATTTTAACACTATTTGCATACTATTTGATAGGTTGAAATTATGAAAATTCTCAAAATATAGAGTTATTACAATAAGCAGTTTTGGCATAATATATATTGTTGTCCTAAACATTTTTTACTTTTTACTTTGGGAAATGTGAAGATACAAATATTTTTATAACTAACTTTGAAAATATGTATGCATAGTGCCTTAAAATTCAGACATCAATGCATCTATTTCTTCAAATTTGTTAGTTATATTTGCAATGCACTCTCCAGCTTTTAATTTCACTCCATCAATGACAAGATAGTCCTCTTCACAGTTGTTCTCGACTGGACTGCTTGCAGGAGCTTCCAGGCTAGAGAACTGTAAAAATAACCACACAAATCATCAGAACGACATCAGATGCTCTTCAAAGCCAGGTTTAACTGTATGAACAAAACAGAGTCAGAAGCTCCTCAACACAGAGCAGTTACACCCTGTTTTCATCTCTTGGTGGTGAAAAAAAGCAGTGGTTCAAGGACAGCAGAGATTGCAAGGGCGGCGCAGAATCAAGCATTGCTTTGAGGTCCCTGTGAGTTTGTATGACTTACAGCTAAACAACAACATGTATACGTGTGGGGGTGCCTGAGTGTGTATGTGTGTGTGTGATGCCACCTCTCAGTCGTCCAGTCAGAACTGACTCCTAGATGACATTCCAGCAGGTTTTCAGAGGCTGTAAATCCCAGGAAGAGACAGTCCACCTCCTCCCTGGGAGCCGCTCGTGGATTTCAGCTGCCAGAAAGGTGCCACGATCAGGTCAGCAGCAAAACTTCCTATGAGCTACCCACCAGAGCGCCTTTTAACAACATCATGCACAGAACATGTGCTTGTATAAGAATAACTTGTTCAGATTCTATCTCTATACTCCAACATTCTAAGTTTTCTTTTTAATTGTATGATTGGAGAAAACATAGATAATTTATGTTTTCTTTGGCGCAGGATAGAGCAGGGTTTAGGGCTGTTGTGCATAGGGTTGCTATGAGTCGCAAACGACTCAACGGCATATAACAACAACAACAACAGGTTAGTGCATGTTTAAATTATTAATATAAGGACTACAACTTAAGATTGTTTAGTCATATTTATTATGGTCACTATCTCATATATATGTATACTAATTAATAGTGGGGTTTGTATTAATATAATGAGAAGGACAATGGTAAAAAAGAATACATATAGAGGATTAACAGTTATTAAAAACAAGAATAACCCCCCATACAACTAAGAAAAGATACATGGGTGGTTTATATGAATACCTGATATATCAAAGATGTATCTTTTCGCATATTTAGTGGTGTCTGATTTATAAGTGGATTACCCAATTTGTAAATTTTTCAGGTTGGTTTATAGAAATTGGAAATGACTTTGCTCCCATTGGCTTCAAAGTGAGGGCATGTCAGGCAGTGCTAATATTACTAAGGAAGAATGTAATTAGGAAGGCAACACTACTGAGGGAAGTAATCTCATCAAGCATTTCAGTGAAAATAGAAAAGAGGTGTGAGTATCCATTTGTGCATGATTTCTCCATGTTACTGCCTCATCCACTGCTACCCATCTTGAGAGCAATCGTACTGAAACCTCAGAGGTGAAATGAATGATGAAAACATCGAATTTACAACTTCGAAAATTGTTCAAACAATAACTGCTCAGAAAATAAGCATGCTCAGGGCTTTAAAATTACCAGGTGGCTTTTCCTGGCTTATAGAAAAACACTTTTTTCCTGAAAAATAAAATACAAGTGGCATTCCTATGCTTGGAAGCCATGTTCTCTTGACTAATGCAAAACAAACCAACAACAACAACAAAAAAAAACAAAAAAACAAACAAACAAAAAAACCAAACAAACAAAACCAAACCAAGAAAGAAAGAAAAAAAAGATAAAAGACGTTGCTGGCATGATCATGTCTTTACTTTCAAATTGGAAATTGCTCTATAACCACTATCATCTGTTTCATTGCTATTTTCTCCGTTTGAAAGTTAAAAAGGCCCTCCAACTCCTCACCGTGGCAGGAATGAAAGGGTAAGCTCATTGTGGAGGGTGGGTGATGAACGGGCCAACAGGAGGCCCTCACCTCCTTACCTGCCTGCCAGCAAGGAAAATGGTTAACTCCCAATTCTCACATGTTTTTTGAAAGCATAACATAATGCAAGAATCTTAAAGTAAAACAAAGCTCTTGCTATTAAAACTATGTATTTTACCTTACAATGTAAAAATCAGGAGTCATTTTCTGTTCTATCAAGTTCATTTTCTGTTCTAACAAGTTACTAATTCCAACAGCAAAACAGAATTCAACTGTGTGGCTCACAAACTCCAGGGCATCACTACAAAAACCTCACTGGCTGTAATTTTGAAAAGACAAACTGGAAAAAAGACTTCACAAAACCATATGGTGTTAAAAAAAAACACATATTTGCTAGAAAGTATAATTTCTGCATAAATGATGTATATATAAGATTTGTTATCAGTCTGTAGATCTTATTCTGCAAAAGGTAATATTCATGTATAGAAAACAAATATTTAAAAGAACTCTAATTGTGAAAATAGTATTTAAAATTCAGTCAATTCAGCTAAAAGTTAATGTTGCTATATTATAGAAGATATTACATATATATCTTGGATTCTATATTCTTCATTTCTAATTCAATAAAGGATGTAGTTAAGAGTCGACTTTATTTTTGTTGAAGTTCTGAATGAAACTATGCAATGAGGCAACGGCAATGTGTGGAAAACACTTTGTTCACATGCATAATCCATCTTTTCCGCTTCTGAGAACAGAGTGACTTGAAGATGGGGAGTTGCCAGAGTGAGAAATGTGGAAAAGGAGAGTCTTAGAACTGAAACGCTGTGGACTTGTTACCAGTTCTCATCTTTAGTCCTAACTCTCGTGGCCTAGTGAGTAGGGAGCTGATTTCCTAATACAAAGGCAGCACCACTCTGGGGGTCTGAATTTATCAGGGGCTTTGTGAGAGACAGATAGGCAATCTGCTCTTGTGCAATCTACTGCCTCCCAAAACTGTCAGCTGTGAGTCAATTCTAACTAGACAGTGGACAGTAATGAGTTTTCCGATTCAGAAGGTCAAGGACTGTAGTCTTCAATATGGATTGAACCTCAACATCAAGAAGACAAAGATTCTCACCACTGTGCCAATTGGCAGCACCGTGATAGATGGAGAAGAGAATGAGGCTGTTAACAATTACAGCTTGCTTAGCTCCAAAATCAACACTCTTGGCACCAGCAGTTAGGAAATTAGAAGATGAATTACACTGGGATAATCTGCTGTCAGGAACCTCTCTAGAGTACTGAGAAGCAACAATATCAGTCTAGAGACTAAGGTATGCCTGATCTATGCCACGGTCTTCACAATTACTTGCTATGCATTAGAGAGCTGGACATAATGAAGGATGACAGAAGAAGGATTGATGGCTTTGAGTTGTGGTGCTGGAGAAGAGTTTGAACATACCATTGACCACCAAGGAAATAAACAGATCTGTCTCAGAGAGAGTGAAACTAATTTCTCCTTGGAGGCCAGGACTTTGAAGCTCCATCTCACATACTTTGGGCACGTGGCCAGGAGGGACCAGTCTTTGGAGACGGACATCATGCTCAGAAGGGTGGAGGGACAGCACAGTAGAGGAAAGCCCTGGATGGGATGAATTGATACATCAACTGGGGCAATGGGGGTAGGTATGCCAGAATCAGACTTGGCAGGCTTCAGAGCTGCTGTACATAGGGTCGCTATGGGTTATAGGCAACTCAATGGCAAATAACAACAAGTCATCAGGTAAGGCATTTTTCCTTGTTTTATCTCAAAGCAAGCCCAAATTAGCTGACTTCTCCACAATAGACAGGCCCTCAGTGGCAGGCACAGGATGGGACTCGGGGATCATGACCCAGATCCAGAGCTTTTAGGCACAGGGCTCCCTTGCCTTCAAGCACAGTGTGTCTCTACAAGAAAGAGTGGAAGGATGAGTGAGAGAGCAAGTGAATGACTGCAGGCAAGGAAAAGAGGCGGGTAAAGGAAGGGGGACAGAAGTTAAGCACATGCACCGAGTGCTCTGCCCTTTTCCAGATCACGTCGGGAGACACTGTACTGCTGCCCAGGGAGCGGCAGAGTCCATAGTGAGCTGGACTGCTGGCTAAGCCCACACCTCTCTGGCTCATCAGTTCCACAGGAGAAAGAGGGACAATCTCTTGTGATTTATAGCCTCAGAAATCCGAGCGAGGGCTGGCTGGCTATGGGCTGTGACTGGAGGACAACGAGTCAGTCAGTAGCTAAGTAAACCCGTATCTGTGTTTGGTCTCTGACCGGTTTCTGGCCCACATGCTTTATTGTTCTGCGTTGAGAAAGATGCCGTATTCTCTCCCCATTAGGATGTACAGGCTCTGACACGTAAACGAAGCCTTCCGTGAGCCAGCACTGACCCCAGATGGGTTTTGATTTTGGGTTCTCTGGGCCGTGCTTCCCAAACCTTCATGTTATCTGGTTGTGATGGTCCAAGTGGGGCATTTTAACCAACTTCAAATGTTTGCTGCCATCTATCTCTCTCATTCTTCCTCGCTGTCATCAAGTCAGAAGTGACTCATAAGCAAGCTCTATGGTGGGGTTCCAAGTCTGTAAGTAGTATGGCAGAAAATTTCTCATCATTCCTTCACTGAGCTGCTGTTGGGGTGCTGGAGAGGCATGGCCTTTGGGTCATGAATGTTACTGTCAAGGGACTCCCTTTGTCTTCACACAGACCACTGAGTAAAGCAAGCACTCCAGGGCTTTCAGAGCATGGACCACGTCCTAGGCGATGGGCAATGATATATGTAGCTGTTCAGTTCTGATTCCAGGGGGCTTGGGGGCTTGGTGTACACAGTGGAACTGTTCCATAGAGTTGTCAAGGATTTGGCCTTTGGAAGCACATTGCCAGCAATGCTAACCTGCCAGTATTTCTCTTACTTAACGGTGCGTGCCAGCCATAGACTTCTCTGTTGCTGTCAGGTACTGTCAGGTTGATGATGACTCATGGTGACTCTCTCAACAACAGAACTGGACCTTGCCCTATTCTTCGCCACTCTCGCCATCCCTGCTATTCTCGAGCCCACTGTTCCTCTAGGTGGTGGCACACGCTCCACAGGGCACATTGTCCAGCTGGCTGACTGTGGCAGGAAGGGACCTCCTTGTATTGGCACCTATTTCTTCAATGAGACCCTCCCCTGTTCCCATCCCAGCCAAGAGATCTGAATTAAAAGAGCTCTTCTAAAATGGACTAGAACAGTGTCTCTTTGTGTCTTGTTGACTAAACCAAGGTATTCATTTGTGTGGATCATTAAAAACTAGGACTACCATGGAGAAGAATGAGAATTTCAGAACTTAGTTGTGTTCATCAAAAATCTATTCCTAAAAAAAAAACAAAAAAAAATAACAAAAAAAAAAATCTATTCCTAGACCAAGAAGCTGTTGTCCAAACAGAACAAAGGAACACTGTAAGGTTTAAAATTGGGAACAGTATGTGTCAAGGCTGATCCTTTCTCTATACCTATTCAAACTGTACACTGAACAAATAATCAAGAAGTTGGACTTGACTTTGTGAAGAAGAACATGGCATCAGGATTGGAGGAAGACTCTTCAAGAATCTGTGTTGTGCAGATGACACAACCTTGCTTGCTGAAATGAGAAGGACTTGAAATGCTTGCTGCAAATTGGAGTCTACAGCTTTCAACATGGATTACATTTATTAAGAAGACAAAAGCTCTCTCCACTGGGCCCCTAGTATCACAGCAGAGAAAAGATTGAAATTGTCAATGATTTTTCTTACTTGGATCCACAGTCAACATCGTGGACACCAGAAGCCAAGACAACAAAAGATGTATTGCATTAGGAAAGTGGCTGTCAAGGACCTGTCCAAAATACTAAGATGGAATGATACAGTTTACAGACTAAGGGGCACCTGATTCAAGCCGCAGTCTTTTCATCATTTTTACTATGCATCGGACAATAGCGCTAGACAGGGAGTGACTTAGGATAACAGAAGAAGAACAGATGCCTTTGAGCTCTGGGGTTGGAGAAGAGTACTGAGTACTCCCATGGCAAAAGAAAAAACAGATACATCTTGGAGAGAGTGATCTTTAGACACAAGAATGGTGAAGTTTCATCACATACTTTGGGCATGTTATTAGTAGGGGCTATTTCTTGGAGACAGACATCATGCTTGGAAAGATGGAGTGTCAGTGAAAGGAACATCCTCAATGAGACGGACTGGCATGATGACTGCAGCAAAGGGTTCAAGTAGGTCTGAGATGACGAGGATGGCACAGCATAGGACAGGGTTCAGATCTGTTGTTCAGAGGGTCACCATGAGTTGTACTTGACTCGAGGCACCTAACAACAGCAACAGAAATCTGTTCATAGACATTCCCACCACCACCACCAATGTATAGATATTTTGAGGCACGTGGCCAGGAGAGACTGGTCCTTGGAGAAGGATATGATACTTAGAAGAGTGGAGGAAGAATGCAGGAGAGGAAGACCCCAGATGAGATGGATTGATATAGTAACTGGGGCAAAGGGGGCTGGTGTGTCGAAATTAGTGAAACTGGCTCAGGACAGCGCAGGCTTCAGAGCTGCCGTACATAGGGTCACTACGGGTCACAGGCGACTCAATGGCACATAACAACAACAAAACATGGCTACTATGTTTACTATTTACATGTTATCAAGGGCTTGAATTTCAAAAGTGCAAAATGTCCATGTAATTGAAAAGTATAACCAGGAACAATTCTGCCATCTAAAGCGTTTTAAACTGCAACTGGAGCTCAGGTAAGAAGTGTCAACGATACCTTTCCTCCTGGATTTGTTTCCTCCCCAAGTTCTTCTCTGGATTCAGCAGGGGTCGCTGTGGGCTCAAGGGCTTGCTGTAGCATTTGCTCCAGCTCCTGGAGCAGCATTTCTGTCTCAGAGACAACTAAAAGACAGTACGGACTTAGTAAGAAAGCTCTCATTTGAGTTAATTCAGCCTAAATCCTCATTTTAGCCACTTGAAGAGAATAATTCTATCAAGAAACACAAGGTCAAAAATAGGATGTATTTCATATCACTTTTCAAATATCTTCTCTGGTACCAAGCTATTATAGATTTCCTTGGAAAAAAATATAGACATGCTTGCTATGTGTGGATCATAAAACATCTCTGAAACATCAAAAATTAAATACACTGTTTTAAACATTAGGGGCCAAGGGCACTATTATGCATTGGATTGAGTCTTCCAAAAAGGTATGTCAAAATCTTAACCCCTGGTACCTGTTTGGAAATAGGGTCTTTAAAGAAGTCATCAGTTAAGATAATGCGAAGTTACTGTTGAAGGGCAAGTCCCAGTCCAATCTGAGCGATGTCCTTACAAGAGAAGAACAGAAGCAGAGAGATCATATAGTCTGGGACAGCTTAGTTACACTGCAACTGTAAAGCAAGGAAGACCTTGGCTGATGGAGGTAGAGAAACAAGAAGGGACCCTGTCTGAGAGCCTTCAGCGACAAAAGGGCCCTGCCAGACCCCTAAAGTCACTCTACTCACCTCCAGAGCCGCGACACAATAAGCTTGTGTTTTTACAGATTACTCAATTTGTGGTACTTTGTTACCGCATCCCTAAGAATCTAGCACACCGGGCTGTTATTTATAGATCTGGAGTTGGCAAACCATGTCTGCCATCAGCACAAAGAAATTAGTGCAGGCTTTATGGGCCACAAGGTCATTGCCATAACTTCTCAATTCTGCTGTTATAGTGTAAACCACAGAAATGTCATGATCAAATGATCATGGATGTGTATGTGTGTGTGTGTGTGTATAACTTTATTTTAAAAAAGATGGGGCTAAGGGCCTATGGGCTATATAGTTTGCCAATTCTTATTATTAAAAAAGAAGAAGGAGAAGAATCGTGTTACTATCAGTAGGAACTGGTCCACAGCTGACCCTCCAGCAGGCTTTTGGAGCCTGTAATAAATTGTACAGAGAAAATTACATACCTTTTGACTAAGGAGTCACTAGGGGATTTGATCCACTGAAGAGGCACTATCTTTGGTGAGCAGCACAGCTTCCCACTGACTATGCCACCAGGGCTCCCAATTAGAGCATCGCAATCATCGGACAAAGGGGAAACCACGTAGCTGAGTACAACGTTCAACACTGTCATGTTCATCCTTAGTCCCACTGAGAACATAACTTAAAATCTGATATTAAAAAAACACCAGGCTTAAAAAAGTACCCCAAATTTTAACACCCCCCCAAAAAAACACCTCAACAAACCCACCAAACCAACCAACAAAAAAAGCCCACCAGGCTTACAGAAGCTTTCTGTATTACAGTGATCTAAATGCATAAATACACAAAACATCTAGTAATTCATTGCACTGGCTGAGATCAAACACTATCTCTCACCAAAAAAAACACAGGTTTTCATTTTATATATACAACTACTGATTGGGGAATCTGAACTGTCCATCTTTCTGTCAGCACCGGATACATAACACACTCTGTCATCGTCAGTCCTCCTATATTGTCGATTGACAGAGTAATCCTCAAGAAACAGCAGTTACTATAAATGACAAACTCTACTCACTGTCATCAGGTTGGTTAGGACTCTGCAACTCTCCACCAGGTTACCAAGACTTCACATCTCAACAAGAGGAGACTGGCCATTGTCCTCCCACAGAGACACTGAAGGAGTCTCACTGCTGGAGTCATGCGGCCTGTGGGTTAACAGCACAATATGCAACAGACTACACCACCAAGCTTCCCCAAGTTATGGTTTACGTTATCTTCCAAAGATAGAAAATGACTGCATGGCCAATCATCTGTCTATACTGTCCTGTAGGCTCAATGACTTGTTTTAATTTATTGCCAAGAGTAAAATGGTAGCATTATAGCTGATCCATCACGCAGAGAAAATAAAAATAAAAGAAGAAAACGTATCTGTAATAATGAAGTCCATCTCCAGTCTTTAGAAACAAACGTTTGTAAAACAAGTAAATGTTCTTTTCTCATTTCTAATAAGAAATAACTCACTCATTTAAGAACTGCAACTCGTAACTGATGATGGAATCTGACTTTCTTATAGCTGATGATGGGATATGACTTTCTTAGCAACATGTCCCAGGTATTACAGATGAAGCTTTTCCATCTTTGCCTCCAAGGAGCACTCTGGCTGCACATTTTCTAAGACACATGTATTAATTTAATATAAAGATAGTCCATGAAATATTCACTGCTTTTCTCAAACAGCACAACTCAAAGGCTTCAATTCTTCTGTCACCCTTATTTATTGTCCAGCAAGTGATTGAAAAGACCATTACATGAAGAAGAACATGGCTAATTTTACTCTTGAAATGGACATCATTGCTCGTCAGTATTTTAGAGAGGTCACTTACAGTGCAACTGATAAACATATCACTCTTCATTTAATGATGATTAGTTAATAGACTACTTGTTGGTCCCAAGCAATATGTCAACATTTTATTTAATGGAAGTTTTCTTTATAGATTGTCTACCTTAAAAAAGGAATTCAAAGAAATGAGATGTCTTACAACGGAAGAAAAGAGAAAATGAAACAAACAAAAACAACTCAACTAATGTATAAAGATAAGAAGGGCAACAGACTTGAAAAATGCTTAAACCCCCATCAATGCTGCACCCACAAAAAAGTTTAAAATTGGCTTTGAAAATTCTGATGCTCAAACAACAAGGGAAATAATTACACACTGGGATTACTTTGAAGAAATGTTGCAAGTAAAGCACAGGTCCCAGGGAAAGGAAATAATACAGATAAAACCACATTTTAACTAAATGTTGTTTACATTAATAAAATTGGCAATCTCCTGGCAAATCTAATAGAGAAAAAGATGAGAAGACACAAACAAAAAATGAAATGGATGACATCACAGCAGAATCAACCAAAATGACTGGCTAATAACAGAATACTATGAAGAATTATTTTCAAAAATAATTTAAAATGTAGAGTAAATTGAGGGAGCTCTGGTGGCCTAGTGGCAAGAAGCTGTTCTGCAATCCCGAAGGCATGTGATTTGAGGTCACCAGCTACTCAGGGGGTCAGCTATGGGTCAGTTCCGACTCTTCCATACAGAATAACAATACAAGAATAGATGGATAAATATTTGGAAATGCATTGACTATCTAAACTATAGACAGAGGTAGAAATTTTGAACAAATTACTAAAGAAGGAGGTGAACAAGTCATTGTGTTCTCCACTAAGAAAAGTCCTGGTTCAGACAACTCCATTGCTACATCCTACCAATATTCAAAGAGCTGACATCAGTTCTACTCAAACTATTTCAGAATCTAGATGGAGAAGAAACAACTCTGAACTTACTCTGTGAAACATATTTTTAAAAAATAATTCATCATGATTAAATGAGATTCACACCAGGTATGCAAGGATGGTTCAATATTTTAAAAATCAGTGTAGTTGATCACATCAACATTCTCTCAATCAAGGAGATTGAAAGCATTTCCTTAGTGAATAAGAGCTAAACAAAGTTGCCTTTTGTTACTAATCTTGTTCACTAGTGTATTAGAAGTCCTAGTCAGAACAATAAGGCCAGAAAAATTAAAAAACAAACAAACAAGCAAACAAAAAATAATCCAAAGTGGCAAAGAGGAAATAATCTAGTTGTAGATGAATACTATATACAGAAAATATTTCACAGTCAGCAAAGAACTACTGCATCTAATTGCCCAATTTAGCAAAATGTCAAGGTACAAGATCAATATATAAAAATCAGATTTCTGTAGAGTAACAAAAGAAAACTCTGAAATGAAAATAAGTAAAACAATGACATTTATAATAGTCACAAATATCAAGAAATATTTAGGAATATATCTAACCAGAGACTAAAAAAGATCTTTACAAAGAAAACGTAGAATGTTACTATAGGAAACTCAGGAGGCCTATATAAGTGAAAAAATTTATCATGTTTACGGCTCAGATGAATTAGCATTATGAAAATGACAATATTATAAAGGCAATCTATATAAATAAAATGCAATCCCTATCACTATACAATATCTCAATATTACATATTTTCCAAAGATATAGAAGAAGTAATCACCAACTTCATATGGAAGGGGCGGGGGGAGAACCTGAACCCTGAACAAGCAAAGAAAGGCAGAAGAAAAATAATAAAGTAGGAGGCCTCACACTTTCAGATCTCAAAAGCCCCTACACAACCACAGTAATCAACGCAGTGTGGTACTGGTAAAATGACAGGTATATTGACCAATGGAATAAAACTGAGAGCCCAGGAATAAACCTATCTACCTATGGGTAACTGAATTTTAACAGAGATGGAGTCCATGAAGTGAGGAAAAGAGTCTCTTTAACAAATTACTCCTCTTAGTAGGTGACATCAAGTTAAGCACAACTCATAGCAATCCTTTGAACAACACAGGTGAACCCTGTCCTATCCTGTGCCAACCTCACAAACTCAGAAAAATAAGGAACGCTTCACGAATTTGTGTGTCATCCTTGTGTAGAGCCATGCTAATCTTCCCTGTATCATTCTAGTTTTAATATACATTTTGCCAAAGCAAGCACCTTAAAAAGGAAGAAATACAAATATTTTATTCAGTAATCCCGCCATTGGATATATATACCCCAAAGCAATAGAAGCTGCAGCTTAAACTGATAAACTCACATTCATGGTTATTGCAGCATTATTTGTAAAGACAGTGCTCTGATGGCCTACTATGCAGGGAATTACACTGATAGCCCAAAAGTGGTAGTTCAAAAGCACAAGCGACTCTGAGAGAGAAAGAGCCTCTGAAATCCCAGTCCCACTAGGTGTTAGCTATGAGTTGGTTCTGATTCAATAATAATGAGTAGTGAGTTAGTGAGTTCTAATATCTATGACCTACAATAGCATATCTATGTATATATACCCTAAGAAAGACCCTAGTTTCTTAAGGACCTCAATTTACCTACTAAGTAAAATGAAAGAGATAATAAAGCTAGCTATCATAATCATTACTTTTATCATTTCATTATCAGAGATAAGGTTTTTTTGCCTCAGCACTGAAAAAAACTTAGTTACAGGGACAATAGTGCTATAACAGATTATATCCATGGCAGCAATTTTTTTAAAAAATGCAGACTTTTCCCACAGTTATTTCTTAGATCAAGCCATTATACAGTCATGAGCAGAAAGTTTAATAATTTAATGATATCTCAAATTTTTCTATTAAATTCCAGAAAGAGGGCTTTCTATAGATAATGAAACTGATATTTAGGGAGATTAAGTAACTGTACTTAATTAGTTCTCAAGTTCCCAACCAAGGCAGAGAAAAGGAGACCCTATTGATGGTACAAAGAGCCTTTAAAGGAACATGAATCTGGGCTAGGAGGCTAATAGGAAACATTATAGCACCTTGGAGTATAATTGAAAAGGGTCAAGGAAGTGAGGCAGAGATTCAGGCAGGTGGTTTGTCTTAACGTAATCCCTCAATCCATAGCTGTTCCTACTTCAGGCTAAGAATGACGGCTATCAGAAATACTGATGAAGGGACCCAAAGAAATACAGGTAAAGGCACACAAGAGGATTGCTTCCTTTCCACCTCAGATAACCTGGTAGTTCAAATCACAGACCTCTCTTTCAGCTAGCATCCCAGCGCTCAACCACGGAGTCACCAACTCTATAGAAATACGTGAGTAGGTAATAAAATCCTTGAATAGGGTTAAAATTAATGGTTGCAAATATTTTTTAAGGAAAAGAGGTGTTTGTGCAAAGTACACAGTAGATTAGATATTCCTGGTTTTGAAATGGGAAGGTGAGTAAAACATAGGATAAGGCTAATTATTTTAACTTTTGTATTAAAAGAATTTAACTCGTAGTTAACTTGTGCGACTTTCAGAGTCAACAGGAATGCGAGCTTCCTGAAGGAGGGAGTTTCCCTTTTCTGGCGTAACCACCCACGGCAGCTGCATTCATTTATTTACAGCGGCGTTTTCAATAAACAGCTGCCTTTGCTGGACAGTGGCTTTGCGGTGTCATAGCGTGTCTGTGGTGGGGAGAACGCTGGCCTTTGGAGCCCTCTGCTGTAGGGCCTGGGAATCAGCTCAAGGGTAAACCAACATGGTAGCCACGCAAAGGTGCCTTAATTAGAAGAGCAGCAGCAGAACTGGTTCAAAAAGAAACAACAAAATAGTGTAGTGGTTTAGAAGAGGAAATAATGGGAATGTTTAGTGAAACTAATAAGTTTGGCAACTAAAATAGAGACTGAAAGATATTACTCTAGATTTTGTCCAGAATTTTCAAAAAAGAGTCACGGCAGGTCTCAAAAGCGAGCCTCAGACAGAACCAGGCACAGAGCTCCAGGCCTCCACCACAGGATCCTGTGTCTGGCCTTATTTGGACTACTTTTACTGAAACTATAAATTACAGGTTTCTTTAGTCAACTGAATTGCAGTGCCACAGGATCTGGGGGTGGCTGCAAGGAGAAGGAGATATGGCATGGGTTTAATGCATTTTGAAACTGCTTTGCAAAGCTGCCAATGTGCCTTCTTGTAAATAAGAAATTGCTTGCTTTTCAAGACTATTGAAAATGTAGGATGAGTAAATGGCTTTTGAGAACAACACCGCCTCTGTGCATTCAACATTCACCCTACTGAGTTCTAATACCAAAGGCAATTAATAAAGCAGCAGCTCCCAGGCTCCTGCTTTTCTTTCTTCTTTCACTTTGGCAATGAGCTTGGACTGGAGAGGTCTAGATGAAATTGTACTGTTGCTGGAATTTTCTCCCACCACTGTGGGCTCTAGTGTCAGGAAGGGTGAGGACGGTGCAGGATAAGACAAGGTTCCGATCTGCTGTTCACAGCGTTGCTAAGAGTCGTACTCGACTCCATGGCACCTAGCGACAACATCACCACTGTGGGTATCACGCTTATTAGTATTTAATTAAAATTGGAAAGAATCAAATGATAAAGCCAAAGAAAATTTAATTTGTGGAGACAAAAATCTAAAGACAACTGAAAAGCTCTAATATATAAGTTAACATAAAAAATGTTCCATAAATATTTGTTATAAAAATTGCTACAGTCAAAGGTGCCCGAGCGGCTTATTGTGTTAGGAGTTAAGCCAGCAGTCCATATTCGTCAGATCCTCCCCAGGAGTGAGAGGGGCAGTCTCCTCCCATAAAGACAGCCTCTGAAATCCAACAGAAGGCCGCTCCGAGAGATGAAAGGAACTTGATGAGGGGGGATTGTGTTTTCCCTCTTTGGTTCAGCCAAGGCTACAGCCAAGAAGAGATTTTTTTTCCCTTCAAATGACAACAACTATCTTCTGTGAAGTTAAGTATCAGTAAAATAAATAAAAGTAGAACAAGCCTTCACATACCCTTGTTCTCCTTGGATAAGGCATCATCTGCACAAAAGTCTTCATAAGAACATTTTAAAACAGCTTTCCTAGAAGAAGAATTTGACAGATTTCATTTCAAAAGGTCAATTACGTATATTTAAATAACCATTCATGTATATTCACTGGTGATTGTAGATTAGAGATATATTTTTCTCTTGAGGCAATTTTCTTCTCTCTGGGATTTTTATACAGTCAGGCCACATGACACCGTGCACTAATACCCATTTGAGAGTGTAAATCTTACTGTGTGTAAAGAGCTGGCAGTGTTCTACGCAACTTGAACGAGTGACTTCATACAATTCTTCTCACCATGCCAAAACACATACTAAGCAATTTTTGCTCTCATTCTGTAGATGAAGTAACTGAGGGTCAAAGAAATTGAGACACTTGCCAATAATGAAAAATGGCTCAAAAAGATAGAACACTACAGAAATCTCTGCTTTTTACAGGATGGCATGAAGCAATTTAATAAGAAGATAGCTATTCACATTTATTACTTTAACAATAATGTCATGAAAAAGTTACTTCCTTAAGTCATGAGGTATATGTTAAAGTGAAGATAGTGATATGCCCCAACCCCAAATACTTATTGATATTACTGTGAATTATGAGATAAAGCAGTGAAAGGTTAAAAAAAATTCACCTTCAAAAATTATAAAGAAAAAGGAATATCTATTATTGATAGTCTTTGTTTCTGAGTAGGATTCCTTTTAACACAGGACTGAAAGAATTCAATCAAAAATAAGTACATAAACAGTATGGCTGTTTCAATAAGAAACAACTGGACTTGCGGTTTATTGCTCAGCATTAAGGTCTACTTCTAGTTTGTACTACCTATTTTAATTTAAAAATCTGCTTCTAATCTGGTGATTGTTGTTGTACACCATCAAGTTGGAACCACCCCATAGCTAATCCTCCAGCAGGTTTTTGGAGGCACTGATTGCACAGGAGAAGCTTGCCCATCCTCCTCTCACAGAACAGCTGGCAGATTTGAACCACATGCCTTTGGGATTGTAGCACATACATTTACCACTAGTGCACCCGCATCCTTGAAGGCAAGGATTTTGAGACTTCGGCTCACATACTTTAGGCATGTAGTCAAGAGGGACCAATCTTTGAAGAAGGGTATCATGGTTAGAAGGGTGGAGGGACAGTGCAGAAGAAGAAGATCTTAGATGAGATAGACTGACACAGTAACTGGGGTAATGAGTGTAGGTGTGTCAGAGAGCCTGAGAGTGTCTCAGGATAGGGGAGGGTTCAGAGCTGTTGTGTATAGGGTCATTATGAGTCACAAGTGACTCGACAGCACATAACCATAATATTGAAAGTTTTGGTTTAGTAAATTTCTATAAATAGGAAATCTCCTTCATACTTATAAAGCAAAAACTTGTGATTTTAACCTTTAAAACATTTTAAAAACACAGTGTTCCCTAGAGAAACAGAAAGAAGAATCAGAGTCCAAATGTGAAGTAATAATTAAATCACACACACAGAGCTCTGGTGGCCTAGTGGCAAGGAGTTGCAACTACAATCCCAGAGGCGAACGGTTCAAATCCACCAGATGCTCTGCCGGGGAAGGAGGGACAATCTCCTCATGTACCAGTCAGATCTGATTTGACGGTACACGCACACAAAAATAATAATAAAAATAATCACACACACAGAGTGAGAGTGAATAAGAAACGGGGGGGGGAAATTTTAATTTTATCATAATGCTTTTAAAGAGCATACCGTTTCCTTTTACTAAATTTGAGTTTTTCCTTTTCAATATTAGTTTTGGAACGTTGCATCTGTAAAATACCAAAAAACAAATATAAAGAGTTAGGTTCTACAGAACTAGATCCTAGCTTAGTAGAGCTATGGGACTATATGGTCCAAGTGATTTAGCACATAAAGAAACTCTGACTCTCAATCTTAACACCACCTCTAACACTGGTCAACTCGTCACGGCCACAGGACTCCAAGTGCTTTGATCTGCTCAACTTCCAGGACAGTGGAAGAATGCTCTGATGCAGCTCTACCCACTGTTCACTTTACAAATACATCAAAATATTAAAACAAAATTTATAATCTTTTAAAGAAACAGTTAATGTTCTTATGCTAAAAGCAGGTAGAATGCAAAGCTACAGTTACAGGTTATTAAAAAGGAAATTGTAAGAAGATAGGATCAACAAGTATTTGCACTGTAGTTTTAATGTCTAAGAAAAGACAGGTGACACATTCTGTACCAGTTCCCTTACAGAGTTATATATACTTTCTGCAGAAAAGGTAACTGGAAAAATTGTATTCTCCTGGACAGTAAAACAAGATAATATGTTCTAGGGAACTGGACCAAAACTTAATAGTAATTCCACAAGAAAGGAATTCTAAAACAAAAAAGGATTTTTATCTGTGTCATAATAACTATGCAAAGGCATTTGATTGTGTGTGTTATAACAAATTATGGCTAACATTTGGAAGAAGAGGGATCTCAGAACAACTAATTGTGCTCATGCAAAACTTATACCTAGAATGAGAAGCTATTATCTGAATAGAACAAGGGTATGATACATGGTTTAACAATGACCACTGCATTGGAATAGAAGAAAGAAAAGAAAGAAAGAAAGAAAAGGAAGGAAAGGAAAGGAAGGAAGAAAGGAAGAAAGAAATGAAAGAAAGAAACTGTCTAAAATGAATAAATGACTAGGCATTTTACATACAACAGTCCAGAATAAGATACACCATTGCAAAGAGGACTGGGAGTTTGGGGGAGGAGGTAGGTAACTGCAACAATGAATTAATTTTTTTTTTTAAGTGAACTGGGGGAGTGGAGAAAAGGGGAGGGGAGTAAAATGTGCTATAATGAACGAATGAAAATCTAACTTCTCTAAATAGTCATTAAAATCACAATTAAAATTTTATTTTTTTTTTAAAAAAAACACCCTACTATTAGGCACACCTAAGAGAGAACAAGTAATTTGTAAGGTAGAATTGAAGACATCAAATCTATCAGTGGCAACTAAAGGTAATTTATGAGAGAGTAGTTAAGAGAATAGAAGGATAAGGTGAATATATAGGAGCTTTATATTGGGAAACAGATGATAGAGATGATATTTGAAGTTACAATGATTAAGAATTTCCCAAAGTAAAGATATAAAATTATAGAAGCCTTATAATGCCAAGCAGGATCAATAAAAATCTACTTCATAGTACATGGTGGAGAAAGTTCACAACAATAAAAATCACACAGTAGATCCTAAACGCAACAAGAAGTAAAAGACAGACAATAAGAAGGTAACAAGCAGACTATCACAGACATCATATTGTTGTTCTTATGTGCCATCGAGTTGCTTGTGACTCATAGCGATCCTATGTACAAGAGCCCTAAACCTTGCTCTACCCTGTGCCAACCTCATTCTCTCCAACACACCTACTCCCACTACCCCAATCACTGAATCAATCCATCTCATCGAGGGTCTTCCTCTCCTGCACTCTCTCTCTACCCTCCCATGCATGATGTCCTTCTCCAAAGACTGGTCTCTCCCTGCAACATGTCCAAAGTATGTCAGAGCTTCAGAACCCTTGCCTTCAAGGAGCAGCCCAGTTTCACCCTCTCCAGGACAAAGCTGTTCGTTCTCCTAGCAGTCCATGATATATTCAACACTCTTCTCTAGCACCACAGCTCAAAGGCATCAATTCTCTATCATCCCTAGTTACTGTCCAGTTCTCCAATGCATAGCTTGCAACTGTGAAGACGCCATATTGCTACAGCCTAAACAATTCCCAGGAAATAATGATACATGCCATCTGAGTTGGAAGCCCTGGGTGCGCACTCCAGGGAGATGCAATCTTAAACCAAAGTGGTGACTGTGCTCTCCATGTTCAAATTCATCTGTGGCTCCACGGGTGAAGGATAGGAAGCTCCTTCCGTGTGGTTGGCAGCTTCCCAAAAAGGTGCTGGATGGTCAGCTAGGAGTCAGTTCCAACTTGAAAGCAATGAATTGAGTCAAGTTGTCAATTAAATTATACATAATTAACCTAACAGTCAAGATATCCCCCCCACTGATGTTGTTTGATGAGTAGAGGCAACTGAACGCACCTACTCTGTATACCAGAATCCTTAATTATGGACATGCTGAACCTGTCCACAGAGCAGAAGCCAGTTACTCAAATAGAACAGAGAGATGGGCCATTTAAAATGAAGAAAGGTGTGCATTAGAATTCTCTCTCTTCACCGCTTATGCAACCTGCATGCAAGTAATCTGAGAAGCTAGATTTTGTTCTTATATGAACAAGAATTCTGCATCAGGATTGTAGGAAGACTCATTAACAACTTGTGCACTTAACACAGTCACATTTTCAGAAAACAAAGATTTGAAGCACCTACTGATAAACTTTAAAGACTGCAGCCTTCAGTCTGGAGCACGTGTCATCATTAATAAAAGAAATATCCTTACAATTGGATCAATAAGCAACATCACAATAAATGGAGAAACGATTAAAGCTGTCAATGATTTAATTTTACTTGGACTCGTGCAGCTTCTTGCCACTAGATTGCCAGAGCTCTCCTGCACAAAAATAGCAGCAGACAAAACAAACAAAAAACCAAAATACCCCAAAACAAAACTATTTCATTGGAAAATATGCTGCAAAAGACAGGTTGCATGTGTTAAAAAGCAAAGATATCACCTTAAGGACTAAGGTGTACCTGACTCAAGCCTCAATATTTTCAATCACCTCATTTTCATCAATAAGGGAGATGGAAAAAGAGTTGCTTGACACTTGTGAATAGTTGTGCTAGTGAAGATACTAAAATGCCATGGACTCCAGAAGAGTGAATGACCATGTCTTGGAGGTGCAGTGACAATGCTGTTTAGAAGCTGGTAGGACTTAGTCCCATGTCTCTGGGCATGGGGAGGGGGGAGGCAGCCCTGGAGGGTGACATCATCTCTGTAAAGTAACTCACTCTCATTCACTGCCATCGAGTTGGAACCAACCCAGAGCTGATGTTTTATTTGTTTCCCATGACTGTAAATCACCCAAGAGGAGACTGCCCATCTTTCTCTCCTGGAGTCACGGGTGGACTGGAACTTCCAGAGAGAGACACAGCCTTTAAGTTAGCAACACGACTTCCTGGGACCTGGTCAGCAGAGCTTCCTCTGTCAGTGAAGAAAAGGAAGATTCTCAATGAGACGACCTGACACGCCGACTACAGCAACGGGCAAGAGCCCACAGCAAGAGCTGTGAGGACACAGGGCACGGCGTGAGCCAGGCCTTGTTACAGTGCACACAGGGGGGTTCTGTGTCAGCAACAACTCAGCAGCACCAACAGCACTCCTCACACTCTGATTTTCTTCATTTATGAAATAAATCCACCTCTGACACATCTGGCAGTGATTACTTCCGAGGTGGAGAAGGAAGGAGTACCCTGGCTGCACTGCTTGAAGTGACACATTAACTTGGCTGGGCCACGAATCTCAGTGGCTCGGCAGTTAGGTAACAATGGCGTCACCTTTCAGTTTGTGATCTGATGTGGTCATTGTACATGTTTAAATAACACTGGTTTTCACATTATGCCTGGTCTTTCTGACCTAACCATGTAAAAAAAGTGGGGATACTGGGGATTTTTCTAGGTACTGTCTCTTATCGTAAGTTTCTTTTATTTTAAAAAAATATTACTATAATTAAAAAAATAAGAGAATAAAATGTAAACAGAAATATTTTTTCTGGGAAACTATAGGGATAGGGTTCAGGAATTGGGATTGAAATAAAGTATCTGGGTGAATCTTAGGTCAGTGAAAGTTTGTGATGCACTGGTTTAGCCCAAACATATCTACAAAAATATAATGCTATAGAGGGTTTGATGGTTCAAAACAAATCAAACTCAACCATAAATTACTTTGTCATTGAGTATGAAGGCCAAAGAAGCACTATGTATAAACAGCACATCTAGTTAGTATTAAAAGTTGGATATGTACGTGTGTTCAGCACTGCTAACTAGAATGGCAAATGGTGGGACCAGCGTTAACTGCATCAACTCAATGCTGTCACATTAGTTTAAACTGAAACCCATTGGCTTTTCAAATCGGTGAACTGCGAGAAGGGGACTCTGTCCATCCTTCTCCCTCGGAACAGCAAGTGGATTTTAACCACTGGGTACGTGCAGCTTCCGGGTTAGCAGCACACCTTGCTAAGGACTATGCCACCAATGTAAATTGTATAGGACAGAAATCGTTAAGGGTTTTATTTATGTCAGACTTGTATAGTAAGTATAAATTGACTAGAAAGTCAATTCCTTCTTACTATTTGTTTAAATGAATATATTTTTCTTCTTAAATAATATGCTTTCTGGCAGTGTTACATCTGATTCTTTAAATTTCTGATTTAGCATTTGATACTCATCTAAGACCTTTTTTGCAACTTTTTGAGAGTAATTCTCATCCAACCACCACAGACACTAGAGAGGGGTTGCTCAGGGTGACAAAATCTCTGAAAGTAAATTTGTGTGCATTGAATAATGTACGTAAGCTGTATCAAAAGTAATCATACAGAAGGAAAAACCTATATCTTTATTTCCCTTTGGAAAACTTGATGGGAAAACCTGTTTGGCATAAGTATGAACACTAGTTTCATGCAGCATTACAAATGATGTTCATTAATCTGAGTATCTAGTGAATAAAAGTAATATAGCTAAATCTTCAGGGCCTAAACAGTGATTGTTTCCAACACTTGTCTGAAAAGGAGAGGAAGCTTAGAATGAAAATTTTCTAGTTCAATTTTCATTGCAATGATAACATATCTGTATTTTAAA